CCTCCTTCATATTTATATGATAATCGTGCTGGATATAGTAGTCTTGGTTCGAGACCCTTCTGTTTCATTGCATTAAGTATATCATGCCATTCTCTTCTGGCCTGTAGGGTTTCTGTTGAGAACTCTGATGATAGCCTGATGGCTTTTCCTTTGTAGGTGATCTTTTTTTTTCTCTCTGGCTGCCTTTAATACTTTGTCCTTGTCTTTGAGCTTTGCCATTTTAATTATTATGTGTCTTGGTGTCGCCCTCCTTGGATCCCTTTTCATGGGAGTTCTTTGTACCTCTGTGGTCTGAGAGGCCATTTCCTCCCCTAGTTTGGGGAAGTTTTCAGCAATTATTTCTTCAAAGACACTTTCTATCTCTTTTTCTCTCTCTTCTTCTTCTGGTACCCCTATCATGTGGATATTGTTCCATTTCGATTGGTCACACAGTTCTCTTAAAATTCTTTCATTCCTGGAGATCCTTTTATCTCTCTCTGCATCAGCTTCTCTGCATTCCTGTTCTTTGTTTTCTAGTCCATTAATGGTCTCTTGCATCTCGTCCATTCTCTTTTGAAGTCCTTCCAGAGATTGTTTTATTTCTGTATTCTCCCTCCTTAGTTCTTGCATATTTCTCTGCAAGTCCATCAGCATGGTTATGACTTTTGTTTTGAATTCTTTTTCAGGAAGACTGGTTAAATCTATCTCCCTAGGTTTCTTCTCAGGGGGAGGTTGTAGAAGATGTCAAAGCTGTCTGTGTTAGTCTTGTCTGGAGCAGATTTTTTTGCCTTTTCATGTTGATAGGTGCAATGGTGAGCTATTGACACATCTATCAGCTGGGAGAGCCAAGACTCTCCACTTGCTCCTGGCCTTTCTTTACTGCGACCCCTAGTGGCTTGTGTAGGGCAATTGCGTGTAGACTGGGTCTCTGTATCTTGCCCGGCCGGTATGGAGGAAGCTCCCTTGCTGTGGGCGTGGCCAGCCTCAGGCTGCTGCTCTGCTATGGCGGGGCCCCGGAGGGGGAATGGACGGGGGGCTGTTTGGCTGTTTACCTCCATGAGGGGTCTCAGAGCTGTTGCCCAGGGGGTTAGTGTGTCCGGAGTTCCCTGGAATTTCCAGCTGCTGGACTGTGACCCGGGATGCTTCCGTTCAGCTGTTGGGTCCCTGTCCCTTTAAGACTTTCAAAAAGCACTCGCTTTTCTTTGTCCCAGGGGCGCCGGCTTCGGGACCCACTCAAAGGTCTTACTGTCCTGTTTCCCTAGTATCCAGCACCCCACACATGCACTGTGTCTGCGCTCTGGTGCGGATGAGTAGCGCTGGGTGTTTAGCAGTCCTGGGCTTCCTCTCCCTCCCTGCTCCGACTCCGCCTCCGGCCGGGAGCTGGGGGGAGGGATCTCGGGTCCCGCCGGGCTGCGGCTTGTATCTTACCCCTTTCACCAGGCACTGGGTTCTCGCAGGTGTGGATGTGGTCTGGCTGTTGTCCTGTGTCTTCTGATCTCTCTTTTAGGATTAGTTGTATTAAGTATTTTCAAAGATGTATATGTTTTTGGGAGGAGATTCCCACTGTCCTACTCATGCCACCATCTTGGCTCCGCCCTGTGTACCCTATTTTTTTCTGGCTAGGGTTTTTTCTGGCTAGGGGTTTTTCTTTTTTGTTTATTTTCTCAAAGAATCTACTCCTGGTTTCACTGATTTTTTTCTGTTGTTTCATTCTGTTTTATTAATTTCTTTGATCTTTATTATGTCTCTCTTTCTACTGACTTGGGTTTCATTTGTTCTTCTTTTTCTATTTTCTTTAATTGTGATTTTAGTCTTTTTATTTGGGATTGTTCTTGTTTCTTGAGGTAAGTCTGTACTGCTATGTACTTTCCTCTTTAGAATTGCCTTTGCCACATCCCACAGATTTTAGGCTTTTATTTTTTTTTGTTTTCATTTGTCTCCATGTATTGCTTGTTTTCTGTTTTAATTTGTTCATTGATCTGTTATTTAGAAGCATATTGTTTAGCCTCCATGTGTTTGTAAATCTTTTTGTTGTCCTTGTGTAATTTATTTCTAATTTCATACTGTTTTGGTCTGAGAATCTGCTTAATACAATTCCAGTCTTTTTTAATTTGTTGAGACTCTTATTGTGCCTAGTATATAACACGTTCTGGAGAACGTACACTTAAGTAAAATGTGTATCTGCAGCTTTTGTGTGGAGTGTTCTGTAGATACCGATTAAGTCCATTTGATTTAATGTATTGTTCAGTGCCTCTGTTTCTTTATTTATTTTCTGTCTGGTTGATCTATTGATGTGAGTGGTGTGTTAAAGTCTCCTAAAATGAATGTGTTGCAATCTATTTCCCCCTTGAATTCTATTAGTATTTTGTTTTACATATGTAGGTGTTCCTATCTTGAGTGCCTAGGTATTTATAATGGGCATATCTTCTTTTTGGACTGATCCCTTTACTATTATGTAATTCCCTTCTTTGTCTTTCATTACTTTTTTTGTTTTGAAATCTATGTTGTCTGATAGAAGTACTGCTACTCCTGCTTTTTTCTCTCTATTTGCATGAAATGTCTTTTTCCATCTCTTCACTTCTGGTCTGTGTATGTCTTTGGGTCTGAAATGAGTCTCTTGTAGGCAGCATATAGATGGGTGTTCTTTCCTTTTCCATTCTGCCACTCTGTCTTTTGATTGGTGTACTCAGTGCATTTACATATAAGGTGATTATTGATATATACTTACTGCAATTCTGTTCATTGTTTTCTGGCTGGTTTTTTATAGCTCCTCTCTGTTCCTTTCTTCCTCTCTTACACTCTTCGCTTGTTATTGATGATTTTCTTTATTGTTTTAATTGGATTTATGTTTATTTGCTTATTTAGTGTGTGTATGTGTGTTGACTTTAAATTTGCAGTTCACCAAAGGTTCAAGGATAGCTTCCTTACTATATAATAGTCTATCTTCAATTGCTGATTGTTCTGTTTCAAACACAATCTAAAGGTAATTTTTTTCTTCTTTTTTGTGTACATTTTTTTGTATTATATGTTATGTTCTGCTTTTTTGTATTCCTTGACTGATTTTGTGTATAGTTGATTTTGCTTTTTAAATTTCTTACTCGCTTGGCAATTAGTTGGTCTACTACTCTTACTGTGGGTTTATTTTCACTGATAAAGCTATTTTGCCTTAGGGCCACTTCCATCTACAGCATTCCCTTTAACATAACTTGTAAGACTGGCTTATTGGTGGTGAATTCCTTCAACATTTTTTTAAATCTGAAAATTGTTTAATACCTGCTTCAAATTTAAATGGTAATCTTGTAGGTCCTTGGTTGGTCAAGTAGTGATGACCTCAACTTCTGTTTGGGAAAGTCTCTTTTCTGTAGGATAGCTTTGCTGGAACATTATTGATTTGCATTTTTTTCTTTATCGTTCAGAACATATTCCACTACTCCATGTATACAATGTATCAGCTAAGAAAATTGCTCAAATCTTTATGAAGCTTCCTTTGTATAGTATGAGATTCTTTTTTCTTGTAGCTTTCAAATTTTCCTGCCATTGCTGCTTGAATTTTATGTGTCTTGGAAAATTCCTCTGTTGAATTATTCTGCTTGGCATCTGAGGGGCATCATTTTCCTGAATGTCTACTTTTTCTCCCCAAATTAGGAAGTTTTCAGCCATTTCTTTAAATTAGCTTTCTGCCCCTTTTCTCTTTTCCTTCAAAGGCTCCTGTAATGCAGATACTCTTGTTTTATGGTGTGCAGTAATTCTTTAGGCTTTCCTCATTCTCTTTAGTTCTTTTTTTCTTCTTTGGATGATTTCAGAGGACCTACCTTTGATTTCAGATTCATTCTTTTGGTTGATTGACTTGGTTCAAGGTGTTTCTGTTTCATTCCAGACTTTGTGTTCTGCATCAGCATAATATCTCGTTATTTTTTGTGTTTTCTTTCTGTTGAAAATTTCTTTTTGTTTTTACATGTTTTCCTTATTTCTCTGGATTTATTCAGCCACAGTTTTCATGCCATTTTTGTAGCCACATGTCTTTTCCACCTTTCGTTCCCCACTTTTGGCAGTTTGCCAATTTTCGATTGCTGTCATTTCTGTTGTCATCACTTCTACTGTTACTTCCAGCATTAATCTCTATCTCTCTGTACTTCACATCTCACCCCTCTTTCTGTGGTACTCTCTAACACTAGCCTTCGTGTTGTGCTATGGTATTTCATGTTTCTGGCAACTAACAGTGAATGTTAGCTCATTTAATCAAACTATTTTAAAGGGGTTGGTTCTACACTTCTACCTAGGCTCCTGTCAGCAATAGAAAATGTCTTGCAAGAAGGTTGTTGGCAGTAAAATGAATTATAACAACCTGCGTCTGTTCCTTGTGTCATATTCTGTCTCCTTGCTGTGATGAGATCTGCACCATTCTGTGACCTCTGGTCCCAGTAATAGCAGCCAGCTGTTCCTGCCAACTGAATGTCAATTCTGTTTTCTTGAAGTGCATCCCAAACATTCATGCATAGTTAAGACCAATTCATATTTGTACAGCAGGCTCACTCCTTTCTTCAATTAACATGTACTTCACCAGCATTTCTTTGTGTTCAGGTTGCTGCTGTAGAGCAGAGGATGCAGAGGCACACTTTGAACAGAGCATTTGTGTACAACAGTCAAAGGCCAGGATTCCCAAGGCAGCTCCGTCTTCTCGGAAGACCCACCCCTGTGAGATGTGTGGTCCTGTCTTGAGAGACATTTTCCACTTTGCTGACCAGGGAACACAACACAATCAGAAACTGTTGAGGTGTGGGGCATGTGCAAAGCGATTTTATTTCAGTATGAACTTGCAAAGGGACCAGGAGCGGCATATGAAAGAGAAACCCTTCGGAGACACTGAGGAAGGGCCCTTGTCTGTGATTAGCTGTGGATTTCCTAAGTCAGGGAAGCCTTTTACCTATGGAGAGGTGGAGAAGGACTTCCCAACCAGCTTGGGACATCTGCAACAACAGGCCAGTGATTCTGGGGAGAAGCCAAATGGAATCACCCAGGGTGGGGCTGCTTTACAGAACAGGAAAAGTCAATACATCTATGGAGAATGCAAGAAAACCTTCAACCCCACAGATACACTCTTTCGAGGCCAGGATATCCCCACTGGAAAACAGTGTTTTGTTTGCAGTGAATGTGGGAAAACATTCAGGGACAAATCCTCATTGATTGTGCACCACAGAGTGCACACTGGAAAAGGCCATCAAGAGTATGGTGAGTGTGAAAGATCCATTAGGCAAAGCTTAACCCTCAGTCAACATGAAAAGATTCATTCTGGGCCCAGGCAATACAAGTGCAGCAAATGTGGGAAATCCTTAAGCCACAAATCTGTCCTCATTCATACCCAGAAATGGCACAGTGGAGAAAACAGTTATATGTGTAGTGACTGTAAGGAATCGGTTAGCCATAGCTCAGTGTTCATTCCACATAGGAAAGTTCAAACTGAGAAAGGGTCTTACAAATGTAGTGACTGTGCAGAATTTTTCACCTCTGTCTCTGCCCTCCATTATCATCAAAGATCTCACACAGGAGAAAGGCCTTATTATAAGTGCAGTGGTTGTGGGAAGTCTTTTATCTCTAGGTCTGACCTCTTTTATCATCAGAGAGTTCACACTGGAGAAAGGCCCCATGAGTGTAGTAAGTGTGGGAAGTCTTTTACCCGAAGAAATAGCCTCATTATACACCTAAGAACTCACTCAGGAGAAAGACCATATGAGTGTAGTGAATGTGATAAATCTTTTATTTCTCGCTCCAGCCTCCGTTATCATCAGAGAAGTCATACAGGAGAAAGGCCTTATGAATGCACTGTATGTGGGAAATGTTTTATTTTTAGGTATGAATTTGAAATTCATAAGAGAGTGCATTCAGGAGAGAAACCTTTTGAGTGCACTGAATGTGGGAAATCATTCATCAGAAGAAATACCCTCATTTTACACCAGAGAATTCACTCAGGGGAAAGACCTTATAAGTGTAGTGAATGTGGGAAGTCCTTTCTTCAATTGTCATCATTCATTCAGCACAAGAGAGTTCACACAGGAGAAAGGCCTTATGTGTGCACTGAATGTGGAAAATCTTTTGTCTGTAGCTCCACCCTCTGGGTCCATCAGAGAGTTCATGCAGGGAAAAGACCTTACAAATGCAGTGAATGTGGGAAGTGTTTTCCCTATAGTTCCAGCCTCCGTTATCATCACAGAGTGCACACTGTACAAAGGCCACATGACTGTAGTGAATGTGGGAAATCATTTCGCCATAAATCCTACCTGTCATTGCACCAGAAAATTCATAATAGGGAAAGATCTTATGAGTGTAGTACCTGTGGGAGATCTTTTACCTCTTCCTCTGGGCTTGCTTGTCATCAGAGAGTTCACAGGGGAGAAAGTCCTTTTCACTGCAAAGAATGTGGGAAATTTTTTAATAGAAGGTACTCCCTGATTCAACATCAGAGAATTCACACAGGAGAAAGACCTTATGTGTGCAGTGAATGTGGGAAATCTTTTGCCAGGAGTGCCACCCTCTCTTGTCATCGTAGAGGTCATGCAGGGAATAGACCTTATGAATGCAGTGAATGTGGAAAGCGTCTTACCTCTCCTTACAATCTTCGTTATCATCAGAGAGTTCACAAGGGAGAGAGACCTTATGCCTGTGATAAGTGTGGGAAGTCTTTTATCTCTACGTCCAAACTCCATTATCACCAGAGAGTTCACATTGGAGAAAAGCCTTTTGAGTGCATCAGATGTGGAAAATCCTTTAATGGTAAATCTCAATTCAGGCACCACCAGAGAAGTCATGCTGGAGAAAAGCTTCATGTGTGCACTGAATGTGGGAAATCTTTTGCCCATAGTTCCAGTCTCCGTTATCATCATAAAATGCACAGTGGAGAGTGGCCTTATGAGTGCAGTGAATGTGGGAAATCCTTTGGGAAAAGATCCAAATTGAGTGAACACCAGAGAGGTCACACTGGGGAAAGGCCTTATGTGTGCAGTGAATGTGGGAAATCTTTTGCCCTTAATTCCAGTTTCAGGTATCATCACAAACTGCACAGTGGAGAAAGGCCTTTTGAGTGCAGTCAATGTGGGAAATCCTTTAGAAATAAAACAACATTGACTCTACACCAGAGATGTCACACTGGAGAAAGGCCTTACGACTGCAGTGAATGTGGCAAATCCTTTAGGTTTAAATCAGCATTCACTGTACATCAGAGAATTCACACTGGGGAAAGGCCTTACAAGTGCAGTGAATGTGGGAAATCCTTTATTGCTAAATCACCGTTCACTCTACACCAGAGAATTCACAGTGGAGAAAGGCCTTATGAGTGCAGTGAATGTGGGAAATCCTTTAGTTCTAAATCAGCACTCACTGTACACCAGAGATGTCACACTGGAGAAAAGCCTTATGACTGCCAAGAATGTGGGAAATCTTTTATACGGAAATATACCCTTTCTCAACATCAAAAAGTTCATAATGGAGAAAATCCTTAGATGTACAGGGAATGGACAATTTCCTGTTCAGTATAAACCACATCAGGTGAAACAGGAGCCATCTATCTCAATTGTATCTCATGCATATGAGTTGAGTGACTCCCCATAAATTTCAGTTACATGGTAAGCTCAAAAAAATAAAATAAAAACCACCTTGTACTTTCTTGACCTGTCCAGGGCTCTTCCCAGATTTGCTTCCCAGATTGCTTGTTTTTGTGACCCAGGCCATTACACCTCTGCCACCTGACAAGACCACATGGTGTTCATTCGTCACCACCCCAGTGTATTTGGGGAAGCTGAACTCTGTTCTCTCATGTATTAGAAGAAATTATGAATAACCTGAGCTCTTAGGGCTTCAGCTTTCCCTCCTTCCTGGACATTGGACTACTTTGGGCATGGACCTGGGTCATTGTTATCCCAAAGAATATTGTGAGTTCAGCTGGCAGCTTGCAGAGCATGACTACGTTTTTTTACTGACATGTTGGTCTTCTGTGATACTTGTGGTTAATTTTTCCAGTCTCCATGTCATGAATTTGAGAACTGCCTGCCATACATTACTTTGGTTTGTATACTAATCAAGGCCTTATTCTTTAAGTCCTGTTTAGCCTTGGATGTTCTACTTGCTGAGTATGTAGTTTATCAACACTTTTGGACTCTACAATCATGGAGGGGCAAATAACTTGTTAGGATCCTCAGGTTCTCTCTGCCTAAGTAGATACAGTAAGATTGCAGAATATAACTTGCCAGTGTTAACCAAATCTGCATTTCTGCTCACAGCCTCCTAGAAAAGACTGCAATGCTTTCTGGTTTTCATTTGAGCCCTAGATGTTTTGTGTTTTAGGAATCTCAGAGATGACTCTGAGGAGGTGATAAGTATGAGAACCTCAGTTGCTTCTGAGAGTGGCATAAGTTTTTTCCTTACTCAAAGGAGATAATGCAGGTATGCCAGTGTTGTTGAGGGGACATCTTTCTTCCCCATGTCTACAAAGAGCCATGTGCTCTGCTGTCCACAGTTCACTGGAATATGTTCATTGGTTATAAGACTGTTGGGTTCAGGAGAAAACAGAATTGGTCCAGAAACACTGGCTTAGGAAGTGGAGCAAACTGCAGTCAGCTTGATGGAATGTGCCTCTCCTAAAAGTGCATCCAAATACAGTTTTTACCCCAAACAAACTTGGTTCTGTTTCACCTCCTAAGAAAAGGAAGGAACTAAATTTTAAAATTAAAAAACGTAATACCAAGCTATTAAAAAGTTCAGACTTCTCCCTCAGCTATAAATACTGAAATGATACCAGATGGCTTGGGAAGGAGACAAGAACAGGAATCTTGTGGAATATATTTGCAAATGATATCTGATGAGGATCTAACATCCAAAATACATAAATTACAGACTCAACACCAAAAAAACCCTCAAACAACACAATTGAAAGGTGGGTAGAGGACCTGAATAAACATGTTTCCAAGTGAGATGTACAAACTGACAAGTACATGAATAGATGCTCCATATCACCAAATGCAAGTCAAAGCCACAATGAAATACCTACTCACACCAATCACAATGACTGCTGTCAGAAGACAAGTGTTGGCAAGGGTAGAACAGAGGGAGAATCCTGCACTATGGTGGGAATGTAAATCGGTGCAACCACTATGGGAAACAGTATGGAGGTTCATAGAAAAACTAAAAATAGAAATACCACATGATCCAGTAATTTCACTTCTTTGAGTCTGAGGAAAACAAAACCTGTGATTTGAAAAGACATGCACTTCTTATGTTTATTGTCACATTATTGACAGTAGCCAACATATGGAAGCAACTAAAGTGTCTTATGAATATGTGGATAAAGAAGAGGTGGTGCATATACACAATGGAATATTCAGCCATAATAAAGGAATTCCTTGATACTTGCAACAACAGATGGACCTAGAGGGTATTGTGCTGAGTGAAATAAGCCAGAGAGAGAAAACCAAATACTATATTATTTCACTTATATGTGCAATCTAAAAAAGCAAAATGAACAAAACAGCAACAGATTTGTAGATGCTGAGAATTGACTGGTCATTAATGTGAAGCGAGATGTTGGGGTATGTGTGTGAAACAGGTGAAAGGGATAAAGCACAAAAGCTCAGTATAGATCTTGGGATGAAAATATAGCATAGAGAATATAGTTAAGAGCTCTGTAACATCTTTCTATCTTGGAAGATACTAATTACCCTAGTTGGGATGAGCATTTAATGAGACTCCTGCCAAATCACTATGTTGTAAACTTGTACAATATAATATTGTATGTGAACTATATTTCAATAAAAATCATCCAAAAAAGTGTCTTTGGCAATGATTTGTGCAGGATCAGGTTATACACAAATCTTGGACTTCTGGGCATGTTTATCATGTAGCTGAAGTCATTCAGAGGAAGTAATAAATAATTGAAAAGTTTTGTGAATTCCCATAGTTTCTCAGTGCTTACCTTAAGGCTATTAATGCACAGCAGAAAAAGGAATAGAAAGGGGGATCTGGAGTCCAGACTTGGCTCTGGTGACCCAGGCGGCATTCTCGTGGAATCAGGTGGAAGTGTTCTTCATTGCTCCCATGTTGTTGTTGTTTTTTTGCTACCACTCAGGCAATCGTGATGTTGAGGCTTAAGGAGACAGGGTACAGTGAACATAGTGTTGCCAAATCTATTTTTCAAAAGGAGTGGGATGGATTTTTAAAAATCTTGGGCCAGTTCTTAAAGCTTTATTGTGTTCTAATTTACATGTACTAATGTGCATGTTTTAACATATATACCAATCTGCCTATGTTTAATATGTACAATTTACTAACTTTTGACATAGGTATAAACCACCAAAACCACCATCATAGTCCTTATAATGACCATAGTAGATCTACCTCATGTCCTTTTATAATCTCCGTGCCCTCCTCACTTCTCCAGGTAAACATTGGTTCACTTTCCCTTACAATACGTAGGTACATTTGCCTTTTCATGAATTCATATGATTGAAATCATAAGCTATTTAATTTTTCTTTGTCGTAAGTACTTTCAGATTCATCAGTGGTGCTGTGTGAGTAGCTTTTTTCCGAGTAGTGGTATTTTTTATATACTACAGTTTATCCATCTGTTCATGGGAGTTTGGGTTATTTCTAGATTTTGACTATGGGAAATAACGCTGGTGTAAGATTTGTGTTCCTTATTGTAAAATAGGTGATGGCCAAAGGAGAGCCGGTTTGACTAAAGTAGCCATTTTAAAGGACAAACTGCTGGGCTGCACTCCAAGGCAGGGAGAGGGGTGACTTCCCTGCTGCAGCCTGCAGGCTGGAGACCCCCGGGCTGCCAGGGTGTTTACAAGTCCCTGGAAGTGCAAGGAGGGGCTCCATGCTCTTCTTCTCCACACCCAGCCCCTTCCCTGGTCTTGGATAAAATGCTATATCATGGGCAGTGAGTGGTGACTTTGGTATAGCAACTGCCTAAATGTCACCCACCGCTTCATAAGTAAGCCCTTAATAAAACTCATTTGCTTGCCGCTGAGCTGCACTTGTCTGAGTCGTCCTTTGGCCTGTCAGTTTTGGGGACTTTTCTTTTACATCTCAGGGAAATTCATGGAACAATTGCCCGAATAGGGACCCAAGAAAGCCAATGATGAGTAAGGGGAGAGCACCCCCAGGGGAAATCCCCGGGTTGCCACCCCTTCCACGTGGTATGCAGTGGGTGGCCTATTAGGTGAATGTGGCCACCACATGAGCACAGGAATGCCCCCCAAAAGTCGGGTGGGACTGGAAAGTCTTTTGCAGACCATGAAAGTAGCATGCATGGGAAAGGATTGCAAAAGGGCGGTAATAACTGTAGTGGCCTCTGCTGGGGGCGGTAAGACATACCACAAAAGCTGAGCTATCAGCCAAGAAGGAAATTTGCCCTTTTGCAGGAGAAATTGCAGTTAGGGAAAGGTAGGTAGCATCCTCTGCCTCAACGTCCAACTTGTCAGGGAAAGTGGATAAGAGAGGGCCCAGGGCAAGTCCTGCACACGGTAGCAAAAGCCAGGTCACTGCTGCAGCTGTAGGATGGCCCCTCCTCACAGCAGCTTTGTTAGCAGCCAAAGCCGCACTAGGAGCTAAAGCAAGTGTTAGGCAACTGCAGGAGGAACTGAAATTAGAAAGGAAGCCGAAGTAGTCCAACTGGAGACTGTAAGTGTTAGACATGAGCAGCCCCGGGGGAGGGAAAGCAGAGGGTAAAAGGTCAGGGAAAGATCACTCAAACTGCCCACGTAGGGAGTCCCATGTGAAGATGTGGGTAAAATTGTAATATTTCCAGAATGTCTCCTCGGGCTTCAGTACATCTGCATATCGACAGACGCTCACGGGTGGAGAGGAGTATGGCTTTAGTTCATTTGCATATCCTCGGGGTGGAAAGAAGTTCTTCTCCATACCGAGGGTGTGTCTGAACCTGAGAGTTTAAGGGAGAGGCTTGCTTGCTGTCTTGTTTCCTTCTGGAGCAGCGGAGAGAGACGGCGCTGGACTGCAGTTCGTAAGCAATAAACAGGTTTTAAACTGCATTTCTCCCTTTGACTGATTTTTGGTTTTTAGAGGTATTTTGCCCCGGGATTTCCTCTCCCCGGACTTACAGAAGACAGCAAAGGATTTATGGGGAAATAACTTTGCCTATCAGAACCAGGCCAAACTGGTCTCAACCTAATCCCAACATGGGTGCAAAGAAAATTTAAGAACTGCCCAAAACATGCCTCATCAAAGGAAAGGACATGAGCACTGAGAGGTATGGCTATACAGGTGGACCCATCAATCAGATAACCCCACCTTAACAATCAAAGAGGTGCTTCAGCCAGAATGCAATGTATAAGCGCCCCACCTAACAGACTGAGGCCTTTGTCTGCCTTGACCCGACCCGCTCCTCCCTTGGAGTGTGTTCAAGTGCTTTCACTCTGCTTTGCAGCTGTGTCTCTGCCTTCCAAGTCTTTGTCGTGTCAGGGGCAAGGGTCTAGGAGAACAGACTCAACCCGTAACAGAAGCATTGTCAAACCATTTGTGTGAATCTGATGATAAGATAGGTGTCCCTGGCTTAGCTGCTCAAATGGTGGTCACTCAGAATGAGATCAACCTCAGCCCTAGGTGGTGGAAGACATAATGTTCAACCATTTAGAAATTAGAACTTGGGTAAATAAAATCTTCACAAATATTAGTAACTTGAAAAGCTTTTTTGCCTCTGTGTACATGTCCCTATATGTTACCTCTGGGTGGTATTGCTAAGTGCACATTTGTCTTATGTAAATAAGGCTACTGCCAGAGGGGAACTTGGAGGCCAAAAAGTAAAATAAATGGTGGTCATGGGTCGAGGATTTGAGAGCTATTAGAATACTTACCACCTCAATAACACTCCTGTGAGAGGATTAAGTTGGTCACAGAATGGGTTAGATCAACGCTAGATCACCCATCAGTCTCAAGGCAATTTTTGTGCAACAGAGTGCACTGTAAAACATGCACAATCCCCAACCCAGGGGCACGTCTCTCTTAGATCTGGCTCTGAGGAACCCAAACCTTTAGCTAATGTGGCCTTTTAGTTCTAGTCAAACATGCCACCTTTTTGTGGTAAAAAACAAACTGTGGGTCTGGAGGCTGTGACTATCTAGCAAAAATGGCAAAATCTTAAGTTTGTGTCCTGAGAAGTTGGCTAAATAATCATCATGTTGGAGACCCTATGATTGGACAGAAATGGGAATCACACCCCATTTGTGGTGAGATGTAGTTGGATGGAAATGTGGTTTACACTTCATTTGTGACCAGATAGGGTTGGACTAAAATATGGATTAAAAATCCATTCACAGATGGGTCCTACCAAACTGTTGGTCCCTGGACTTAAGGGGAATTACAACCTAGAATCCTAGAATAACTATGGCCATTATGAGTGTAAGGAGAATGGAAGTTCCACAGCCAGGATTCTCACCTGACCCTAATCTCCGTTGTATACGTGTGAAGATGTAATGCTTAGCCTACTGTGCAGGCACATGCTTGTGTACCCGTTGGCAGTAAGCCATTACTGCCGGTATTGCTACAGAAAGATCTACCACAGGGCAAAGAGCGGGTCCTAGAGAAGAGAGCAGAGGCTGGGAAAGAGGCAGAGGCAGATGGGGTTCTAGCACTCGACCTGCCACTGTGAGAGTAAAGCTTGGTGTGAGCTTCTTTTTACTCCCAACATTCCATTGTCATTTTTTGGTCTCACTGGATCCAGAGCAAACTTGCTCTGGACTGAAACCCTCAGGTGAGAGCATTTGGCATAGTCAGCAGTATTTGCTGCATACTGAAAAAAAAGAACAAGCTGCCCTCGTGGGAGGGGTACCTCAGCGGGCTGCCCCTAAGGGTGGGAGACACCTGGGGATCCCCCAGTGGACATTTGGTCCAAGGTCGCTTGCCTCCTAGAGTTGTGCGCACCTCCCCAGGACTGTGGAGAGTGGAGGTGAGGCCAGAGGAAGTAGAGGAGGCCCTCTGCAAAATAGAATTCCTTAAAGAAACGGAGCAACCGTGGGTGGGCCATTTCCCAGAATGTTAAGAAAGGCCATAAAGGAGAAGAATATTTCTGAGAGCAGCCTGAGAACACCAGCTGTGAGGTGCCGTGTAGGAGGTAAAAAATGTGTTGATGATTTTGAGATGACGCCACTGCACGGAGCTGTGGTGGGAGTAACGGATGTAATGGCAGCACGGGAAGGAGCAGCATGAGAACGCAGGCTGCACGGTGCTGTGGGGCGTAAAGGATGTAGTGGTGCCGTCAGCCCCAGAAATGGTGGAAGAGGGGTTTGGAGCAGTGCCAGAGGCACCAACCCCTCCGCTATTGAAACCCCTCCCAGTAGTGAAGTAGTAAAGAAAGACAGCGACCGAGGGTTCCTCCGTGAGAGGGGCAGCCCCCTCCCGGGGTCGTGGAGCACTTCAGGCGCCCCCTCTATACTCAGGCAGAGCTGATGGATTTGGGCTCCTGGTTTTGGCAGAAACTCTCAGAGTCCATGTCAGCCTGGCTCCTGCCCCTTTGGGATGTAGGGGTAGATGAGATTATTTTGTCCAGGTTAGAAGTGGGAAATTTGGGTTGCTGACAACTCATGCTGCCCTGTAGCAGCGATTACAAAATGCACCTGAGACCCCAGGGGAGCCTCTCCCTCTTGGATTGGCTGATGGCCCAATAGGGTGACTTACCACCTTTCCCCACTAGATGGCAGACGTGCGCCAAGATCCAACAGGCGTGACGGGAGTTGGGCATGAAAACGTCATTTATAAACCAGTAAATCGTGGCCCGGACGAGGAGCGATTTACCTTAGAGAAGTGGGGTG